TACTTCCCTACTTTAATTTACAATATTTTGAGAAACGGGTACAAAACCTTATCGGGTCAATGAAATGAAATGCACAATTTTATTAGTAGCCCTACAAACTAGCTGGCATTTTGTTGCGTACATTTGCACCAGTCTTACAATTCTAGAAAAAAAACTCCTTTGGCTCGTATGGTATTTGTGATGGCGTAATATACCTTGGAAACTTACTATTTGGTGGCACAGTGAAATCTCCACCCACAAGTGACCATTTCCCTGGGGTAACGAACAAGGTGTGTCCGGCTGTATCATATACATGTTTATCTGAAATGTAAATTATTAATTTTATAATTCAAGATGTTGCGACTGGCAAAAACTGAGAGCAACTTGATTTCCAACGACTGTTAGTAAATTGTAGTAAATACATGTAGTAGAATCTGATCCATCATTGGATTTAGTCGACCACGAGTCCACGACAGTAATAAATAATAAAAAGCAATCGTGGTGGAAGTGTTGAGATGACGATAAGTCTACTGAGAAATCACAGCTGCCTCAGGTTGCCCATTGTGGACTTTTTCTTTTAACAAAAAATAGATCTCGTAGTGAACCTGGTCGGTCGGAATCTGCGACCATCGCAGGTGCTCTTAGTATGTCGATTGTTTGATATGAGATGGATCTGAGCTTTATATCACTAGTTGACTCGGGTTCAACGATAGTGGCTCCACTACTATAGGAACTGGTTGAACCTAGTCCACAGACCCCCATGCCCAAACAAAAAATGTTCCAAAGTTGTTAAATTGACTTATAAAACAGTCTCAGAATGCAGGAGAGTAATGTTAAAAAAATTCTTGGAAAAGCTCCAACCCACTCAAGTAAAAGGGCATCCATCCATCTTGTTGAGCCACTGTCCAACGAGTCAAGTTAAAAGAAAAAGATTTGTCATAAAGAACAATCATTTAGACTCCTCGGTATCTTATAAATTATTATTTACTTAATGTGGTATTTTAAAGCTTTTGATCTTCTTCAGGAACGACGTTGTCTGTCTTACATTGACAATGGTGGCTATTGACTTTGATATCCTTGCCCTTATTTCGTGTATTAAGACGTGCAGCAAATTCTGTATCAGATTTTTGCATAGCTGTTACATAGTGTATCACATGTGAACTGTCATCTGTTGAAATGGTAACGTGAATCAGACGTCTGTGGTTCCTGCAATTCCGTGTTATGGCGTCACTATAGCTTATATATAGATACGAATAGCAGCTTAGTTTTAGTGGAATTGCAGGAACCACAGGAGTTTAATTGTGCAAATGGATGCTATCAGTGTCCCCGATATACATAAATAATTTCGAAAACGTCCATACAATGTTCTTAGGTTATAAACGCGAAGCAGATCTTACCGTTGTTGTCGATGTAGTCAATCTTAGCGACAAGATCTTGTGTTGTTTTATTTGGAGCCAGATTTAAAATCTTGACCCAGGCGCTGACGTAATAATATTTTCCCGATTCCAGGGTAACCGTCTGCTGAGCTCCAGCCCAATTCCGCTTTCTACAAAAAATAAATTGATTTGTTGAACTTGTGTTTGATGGAAGCAAAACAATTCCCCGCATTAGGTTACATCAGAGCGTTGTTTTCAGAGCGTTGTTTTCAAAGNAGGGGGGGGGGGGGGGGGGGGGGGGAAGAAGGAAGTAAAATTTGACAAGACGAACCTATGAGTGATATGAATACTGTGAGAACCATCGTGACTATCTGTTGATGATTCACACTGACACCCGCTACAGCTCCAGCCTGTGATACTCTCCAACCCAGGGTTTTGAAAGAGATTAGTGGCTGTTAGAACCCCTGACAGGAACAACAGGATCAGAATAGGTACCATGTCCTCTGTGTGAACTCACTGTGTTGAAAACTAATCCAGGACAGATTTTTGTTGTATAACATTTTCTTATCTGATAAAAACCGGCACAACTTAAAGAGACGTAATCATCTAAATATTTTATATAACAACCCATAGAACTTAAAGTGATACGATCATTTCGAGGCGTCTAAATACATGTATGTAATTTACCAACTAAAATGTCTGTACAAACGATTGTCACTTTAAAGGGAGAGATGTGCCATTTTTGACTAATCGTATGTAAGTCTCAGAAATGGGATTTTTTTTAGCTAAGCTAATCAGTAATATTGTTCAGTACAGTACTTCTGAAGACTATTTACATATAATCAACACTCAAATCACCCCCCACCCACCCCACTATGACGCATCTGTCCCTTTAAGTTCTGAATAACCAACTGTAAGCCGAATATAATCAATATCCATTCATAGTTTGCAATGAAATGACAAAAGCTTCAACCTTGGCTGAATTGTAGGCGAACGAAGATTCGGTTTTTTTTATTCTAAAAAGCGGTGCCTGTATTGGAGATTTAGTTGAATCGACTTTTACAGCCACAAATAATGATTAGGGTCCCCTTGTCAGTGATGCAAGTCCGGGGAGCTGAGGTGAAAAAGGCCTCCTGTCATTCAATGCCAAAAAGGGAATGCAAATACCCCTTTCCATGAAATTATTTCCCTTATTCTACAATGCCCGTCGTCATTTGACAAATTAGAAAAGTGCTGATAAGTAGAAAGAAATATTATGTATGCTATGCATTATTTTTTGTCGCGGTTTATCGTATTATTATATTATGTGATTCCGATTTTCGTATTTTTCAGTCGTGTTGATAATAGGCTTCAACTTTTGTCTCAATTGTAGAGGAACGGAGCTTCAGATTTTTATTCTGAAAAGCGGAGTGGGTATTAGATATCCACCTGTATCGACTGTTAAAGCCATAAAAGATGGTTCCCTTCTGTCAGTTTCAGGGGAAAATTATCTTGGATTTCTTTATCTTGTAATTTTGCATTATTCCCTTTCCTGTTTCGTTTACTGTGATTGAAATGATACAGGTGAAATTTTAATATACCTGGTAGACTCGATTATCACATAACGTCAGAATGTCTATTGTAAAATATCACTGGATAATCAAGTTTTGTATTTACGCCATTTTTACCTGAAGTGACCTAGTTAAGTAGGAAATGCAAATGGCGGCCTGAAATTTGGGCACGCAAAGGTATGTGACACAATTTTGATTTCAAATTTTTTCTTTGCATCCGATTCCCTAGTAAAGAATATTTTTCATGTAAAAAATATCGTTATTGATGCTAAGAATGTTGAAATCGACACACCTGGCGGTAAGATCAAAAGATATTAAGATGATTTGAATACCTTGAGTCTCAAAATGGAAGTTTGAAAAACATTTGAATTTTTTTAGAAAGTTTTTTCTTCTTTACATGTGTTAAAAGCGTTTGTGGATGTAAATTGTTGCTTTTAAATTTTTGTTTTTTGGCTCAATTTGGATATTTATTGTGAAATAAATGATTTTTGTAAGGGTTTTATCTTCACATATTTGAAGCATGAATCATAGATTTGTCATATTTTATTGGGGACAATTCAATCATGGTGGCCACCATTACACACTGAAAGGTAAAAATTGTTGTTTGTGTTTACTGTCTGACTGTAGGGGCTGTTGAATCTGAGTTTTGATATTTTTTAACATATTGACAATTGTATTATCTGAGCAAGTGCATTGGTATATCGAATAATGCCCATTTGATTTAAGAGAAATTGATTAAAAGCTTTAAAAAAGTTATGATTATCTTCGAATATCTTCGCATTGATAAAAAATATAAACATGAGGACACCTTCAAAGATTATCTGCACCCTTTTAAAGCTTGATACAAGTTTACTTTAATAAAAATTTGATATACCAAATACTGAAATGAAAATCTACCTTTATAGATGTAAAAGTTCTCGTAACTTTTGGGAGGTAGGTAGATGACAAGTTAACGTTCGCTTCCAGCGGATGCTGATATCGCAAACTAAGTAGTTGTTGGTAGTCGTAGTAGTTGGTAGTTGGATTGGTTCAAATTGGATGATTCGGTGTTGTTGGTTTGGTTGTTGATTCTTCGTTAGATCTGGTCGGGTCGAATGACATGGCGGTGAAACTCGGCCCTGGATTGTGTGGCGTGAGTTACTCGGTCTCCTTCATTCTTCCAAACTCGTTCTGATCATGGTATTTCTTGTTGATTGGTAGTCGTTGGTTTGGTTTGGTTTGGTTAGATTATTAACTTTTGGGAATCGAAAAGAAAAGTTTATACTGCTGTCCATCAAAGGAATATTCCCCATTGCACATGATATTACCAGCCAATATCATTCCAATCAAATCCAGCCAATATCATTCCAATCAAATCCAGCCAATATCATTCCAATCAAATCCAGCCAATATCATTCCAATCAAATCCAGCCACTATCATTCCAATCAAATCCAGCCACTATCATTCCAATCAAATCCAGCCAATATCATTCCAATCAAATCCAGCCACTATCATTCCAATCAAATCCAGCCACTATCATTCCAATCTAATAGTATTTACTGAAATTTTGTTCTGAATCAAAGTTTCCAAACTAATCACTTTTAAATATAGTGTTAGGATGTTATAGAAGATATTTTTCACCTGTAGATGTACTGGCCAAGATCACAAGAAGAGAACAACTATTGATTCAGCCCCAGTTATTCTGACTCTATATTGATATCCTGTTTATTTCAGACCCTGATAGAAAGAGAAGAAAATGGGGTCTAGTAATATTATTCTTAGTGTTATTTTTACAATATGTCTTTCAACAGTTGTAGCAAGTAAGTTTAACTGGTTACTGGTTTAATTCAAGTTTTGAATTGACAACTAAACTTTTTCGATTTTGTATTTTAAATCCACCAGACCTCCTTTGCCTCAGCATATTGTAGATTGAAGGCAAGTGAACCTAGATCTATTTTTGATAACGAACAAGTTTAAACGATAATTATTATATTTCTATTACTTGATAAAGGAGCATGTTTTAATATTGATAATTTTATTTCAGTCACCCGGCCACCTGGAGTTTTTATCCAGCCAGCGTTTGATATATTTTATAAAGCAGGTGAAACTGTACAGATGACATGTGTAGCAGATGGAGAACCACAACCCACGTAAGTTTAGAATATTCAGGGTTTTAGTGATCTGCAACATCAGACAGATTTGAATCTCAGCAGAATGCTAATCTGAATATTTCAATCTGTAGGTCAGTCGCCAAGTTACCAGCAGAACCCTCCCTCCCTTCCTCCCATTCTTTTATGACATGGAAGATCTACCTAACTAGTCATCAACAGTGGCGTTTCTATCAGAAAAGAGATTTGCTTTTTTTTGCTGATTTTAAATTTTTTTTATTTTTTTTTTATTTAGATATATTTGGAAGAGAAACGAGTTTTTATTCGAAGTTGCTGGTAATGATGATCGAATCGTTCAGTTGCCGAACGTAGGAACTATGGTCATCAATAGACCAGAAGATAAAGATGAGGCCTTTTATCAGTGTTTGGCCGACAATGGCTATGGTGTTTCAGCTTCCATCAAAGTTAATCTTCGTATTGCCAAGCTTGATCCGTTTGCTAATAGTCCAGCGATGTCGTATACACCTTATTTAGGTCAGTTTATTAGCTTTTCACACTTCAGATGCGAGCGATCTTATTCATGTCTCATTTTGAAAGGATCATAACGTCATCTATTGAAGAGATGGCTTTGTCAGATGAAGATCTGATCAGCAACGAAAAAGTGGACTTACAACCGGCCTTTCTTCATCTTCACAATGTCAAGTTATTACAAACTTTCTCTTATACCTTGACTGCAATAGTTACTGTTCTTGTATCACATCTTCACAATGTCAAGTTATTACAAACTTTCTCTTATACCTTGACTGCCATAGTTACTGTTCTTGTATCACATCTTCACAATGTCAAGTTATTACAAACTTTCTCTTATATCTTGACTGCAATAGCCATCTTTCTTGTATCACATCTTCACAATGTCAAGTTATTACAAACTTTGTCTTATACCTTGACTGCAATAGTTACTGTTCTTGTATCACATCTTCACAATGTCAAGTTATTACAAACTTTCTCTTATATCTTGACTGCAATAGCCATCTTTCTTGTATCACATCTTCACAATGTCAAGTTATTACAAACTTTGTCTTATATCTTGACTGCAATAGTTACTGTTCTTGTATCACATCTTCACAATGTCAAGTTATTACAAACTTTCTCTTATATCTTGACTGCAATAGCCATCTTTCTTGTATCACATCTTCACAATGTCAAGTTATTACAAACTTTCTCTTATATCTTGACTGCAATAGTTACTGTTCTTGTATCACATCTTCACAATGTCAAGTTATTACAAACTTTCTCTTATATCTTGACTGCAATAGTTACTGTTCTTGTATCACATCTTCACAATGTCAAGTTATTACAAACTTTGTCTTATACCTTGACTGCAATAGTTACTGTTCTTGTATCACATCTTCACAATGTCAAGTTATTACAAACTTTCTCTTATATCTTGACTGCAATAGTTACTGTTCTTGTATCACATCTTCACAATGTCAAGTTATTACAAACTTTGTCTTATACCTTGACTGCAATAGTTACTGTTCTTGTATCACATCTTCACAATGTCAAGTTATTACAAACTTTGTCTTATACCTTGACTGCAATAGCCATCTTTCTTGTATCACATCTTCACAATGTCAAGTTATTACAAACTTTCTCTTATATCTTGACTGCAATAGTTACTGTTCTTGTATCACATCTTCACAATGTCAAGTTATTACAAACTTTGTCTTATACCTTGACTGCAATAGCCATCTTTCTTGTATCACAGAATGCTGTGATAAGATTGGATTGATTTTACATTAGAAGAAGAATGTATATGTTGCTAAGTTTCTCAAAGTATCTGATTTGAAACAACACAGAAACTAAGCAACATACACATTTAAAAGTTGATATATAAACAAGATGATTTATTACTTTATAGTTTAAAAGGTTGAAAATCATATCTTTGTTATAATTTTTTTCAAAATAGGTAATTCTCTGACTTTGGTGTGTGTGCCACCAAACAGTGTACCAACTGCAGACGTGTTTTGGACCAAAAGAGAAGAATTTGGTGGTTTTATACCAATTAGTTACAATGCCCGAGTAACCATGGATCATGAATGTACGTTTTTTTTTAATCTGCGTTGTAAAAAAGTCTTGGGATCTCTGTTTCATCTTGCAAACTTGAAATTTAACAGCCCAACTCTGAATATCTAAGATTTGTGACTTCAAAGTTAAATCCTATTTTTAATAATTTTTAATATAGGGTCCCCAGAATTCCAATTTAAAGAAGGAGCTCTNATAATTTNA